GGAGTATATAAATATATTTAAATGAAAAGGAGATTGAGATGTGATAAGGAAATCTGCAGATTTTCGGGAAAGGAGTATAAAAAGGTTAGGATTTAAATCAATTAGGCACGTGGCTTTAGGAGTCTTTGGAGGTGAGTTTAGAATTTAAACACTTGGATTTATTCCCATAAAACCAAGTGTTGGGGGGCATTGTTTACACCTAAATAAACCAATAGAGTAAAGCCCAATTATCAAGAAAATCAATAGGCTGGATTTGGGCTGGGCTGACTTACAATTTAATGGCCTAGACGGATTTCCAAGGAGGTTGGATCTTAGGTGGTAGAAGATAAGATTGGATCTGGTGGTTTGAGTTTGATTTAAAATGGGAAATTGAGGGTTTTCAGGTAGTTATCTTTAAGGTTGTTGAAGATAAGGTTAAATAAAAACTATTGGATAACTGTCAAACAACTGCCAGACATGAACCCCACTACCAGATCATGAAGGAACAGTACCGACATTCATGGAGGAAGTTCCCAGCACCAAAAGAGAACAAAAACAGAGAGAAGAGAACAGTTGAGAGGCCTGCCCAACACACACAGACTGCCCAGAGCATGTCTTTCAGCTTTCAGACTGCATTTTCCAGATTTCAGCAATAGTTTCCAGATTTCCAGATTTTCCAAATTAGTTCATAGCCTTAGCCTAGGTTTGCCCATCTTTGTTCATATTTTCTTCTGCAAATTCCAATTTAGATTAGTTTTTAAACATTTGGAAGCAACTTAGCTTTCAAAACAGGTCTGACCTTTTGATTCGGTTAGTTCTTCTTCCTTTTATGGATTTAGTTATGTTATTCATTCATGTAAATAGGATGAATGTTTTCTACCTTTGTTCTTTTGTTTCTGCATAATATCTAAACATGCAGTTCAATTTCCAGATTTAAATTTATAAATTTCCAGACTTTAATCATTCCATAGTTTCTTCTTCAGTTCTAGTTATCATTATGGGCTGCGTAGTTGAAATAATTGTCTGTTATTTTACTTTTTCTGTTGTCTGCGAATTTAATTTTTATGGCATGTTATTTTCTGTTATTTACTTCATGTTAGTTTAATTGCCTTAGGATATTGCATTTATTTTAGGATTTGTAGTTTTTATTACACTTGTTTGGTTGTGAAGTCC